TGTTAATGTGCTTTAGCGGTGGTTCATATACCGTCACTGACTTAGAGACAGAATAACCACTTCACTTTAACCTGAGTCATAGATGAACATTTATATTGTATTATTTTTAGCGTTTTTCTCATAGTGTACATATTAGCAGCATGTTTTGTAGAAATTTGTGAAAATGTATTACGTTTAATGTATTATATTCAGTTGAATGCAATAAATGTATTGTAGTTAATTTAGCCTAAATTAGTACACTATAAAGGAACTACTGTTACTATTAAATAAAACAAATGGTCAAATTAAAATTTTTTGTACAACTGACCTTAATGTAAAAAATAATTTGTTGTTGATTTTTTTTAAACCGCTCGATCGATTTCATCAGTTCATTTAATCAGTGAAAATACATAAAACATTTGACGTATTGAAAAGCTCCTCCTTTTTCGAAGTCGTTTGAAAAATGTTATTTTTTATAAGATATAGGTGACAAACGAGCACACAGTCCAGCTGATTGCTGTGTTGCAAGTATTTCCTGTGGCCCATCGACATCTACGTCTATCCTCGATTACGAATCGAAATGCAGATGCGTCACCCATGGGGATTAAGATGGAATGCCTTGTTTCCAATAAAAAGGGTCTCTGGTTATCTACACTTACCATTCGAAACACAAAAGCGTTGAGCTGCTATTTTACGCTGTTATTCTGTTAGAGCGTGGTTCTACCGAGGTCGAGATGACCCATTAGTGCTACAACTATACCAGTAATATAGCTGCAACATGGCTCTACCAAGTAAACGTAAAGCCAACTTAAACAATATAAGTAAAATGAGAACATCATCAATACATTCGAAATAAATTAAATACGCATTATTAAGGATTATTTAAAAACTACTGGTTATATTTTAATTAAATTTATATGGGACTAGATGAGAAGTAGCAGCTATCAAATAAAAAAAGAACTATCAAATCGGCCAACTTAAACAATATAAGTAAAATTAGAACATCATCAATACATTCGAAATAAATTAAATACGCATTATTAAGGATTATTTAAAAACTACTGGTTATATTTTAATTAAATTTATATGGGACTACATGAGAAGTAGCAGCTATCAAATAAAAAAAGAACTATCAAATCGGCCAACTTAAACAATATAAGTAAAATGAGAACATCATCAATATATTCGAAATAAATTAAATACGCATTATTAAGGATTATTTAAAAACTACTGGTTATATTTTAATTAAATTTATATGGGACTACATGAGAAGTAGCAGCTATCAAATAAAAAAAGAACTATCAAATCGGCCAACTTAAACAATATAAGTAAAATTAGAACATCATCAATACATTCGAAATAAATTAAATACGCATTATTAAGGATTATTTAAAAACTACTGGTTATATTTTAATTAAATTTATATGGGACTACATAAGAAGTAGCAGTTATCAAATAAAAAAAAGAACTATCAAATCGGTTCTCCTAGAAAAAGTTTCTAAAGTAACACACGTAAAAATTCCGTCGTATTGAAAATCTCTTTTTTTTCAGTCGGTTGATAAACTCAACGGAATGACGACGCTTGACGGACTACCACTTGTACCCATGCTGTCTTATCAAACCGCTATAGCCAAATCATTTAGCTTGATGCCGTTCTGCCGTTTTTACCGTTTTTAAACTGACGTGATTTTTTAAATAGGATAGGGCGACAAACTAACAGACAGTCTACCGGATGCTAAGTGCTTGCTGAGGCCCATAGACATGTACATTCACGCTCAATTACGATTCAAAACGCAGATGTAGCGCAGATTCTTAGTTGTCACCCGTGAGGACTAAGATGTAATACCTCGTTTCCAGTACAAAGGGTCTCCGGTTATCTACACTCTCCATACGAAATACATTAAGATACTCTTTTACGTTGGTATTCTGAGAGAGCGTGGTCCCTCACCGGTCGAGCCGACCCATTCATTCTACAACTATACTAGCTATATAACTGCAGCATGGCTCTACTACGTGTAATATACAAATTTACAGTTCACCTGATTGTTAGTGGCTAACTTCAGTCCAGAGACACCTGCAGCTAACTTCAAACAAAGAAAGCTAAAGATGTGTTGTAACCTTCGGGGATTAAGATGAATGGGTAACAGATTGTTATTATGCCGACTCTCTTTATCCTTCAGATCAGTACACAGCAGTACAATCACTGCTATTCAGAAATAGTCAAAACTTTAGTACCTATCCAGATGGCCTCCAATTTTAGCGAAACAACTTTAAATTCTTATTCTATTCTCTTTGATGGGAGGTTTTATATGGTAGAGCCATGCTAGTTAATTAGTAGTATAGTTGGTGGTCCAGTGAATAGTAGTTTTATAGGGAGTGACGAGACCCTTTTTATGAAAGAGGATTTAGTCTGGTGACAACATCTATTTTTTTTTAATGATAGATTAGATTTATGGGCCAAACTTGGGTTGTCACCTATTCTATAAAAAAAAAGGTAAAATCGTCAAAAAAGCACGTACGATAATCTACAATGTTTTATTAGTCCCTACCTTAATGTATGTTAATGAAAGTTTTGCGCGGTAGAACAAGCAAGATAGTAAAATAAATGCTGTAAAAATGTGGTTACTAAGGTATATGTTAACGCTGAATCTGAATGACAGGATGAAAAGTTGTGTGATAAGAAAAAAAAGTGTGGCATTCCTTTCTTTATCCTAGTCACAACATCATCATGCAACCCAAACTTCGGTGGTGTGGACATGTACGAGATGTGGCCATGTATATAGGAAATTTATGTAGCAGAATTGATTGGTAGAGTAAGCAAGGAACAATCCAGATGGATGTTCATCGACCAAACTGACGATATATTAAGGATGGACAAAACTAAGAGTACCCTTAACCGAGGAACATGTATGCGTAGGTATATAGATGTAAAGGAGGCGATAGAGGTGTGTTAGGATCGTGCCAAATAGAAGTCTGTCTACGCCTCTGGGTGACAGGAGTGAGTGTTTAGGTATTACGTAATATAAACTCTTATTTGTTTATATTTATATTTTTATCATTCGTTTATATTTATAAATTATTATATTTATTTAACTTAATCATGCAATGTAACAAAATATCCTTTGAGATGTACCAACCAACGCATCAGACGTAATAAATTACCTTTGTAGATTAAACACGATATGACGCTATCAATAAAACTATAAATCGTATAAATATTTCGACGGAAAATAATTGCAGTCACACCTACGGGAATAGACTTAAACGTTATCGATACAATAATTAATGCAAACTATCTTACCTCTTGTAATTGGTGTTGGTTTTTAAATTAATGATATTGACACAGAGTAATTGCCATGAGGTGAGAAAATCCATTACCCTATGGAGTTTACGTTACCATAATTTATACAATTTACCATTTAGGGTCTCATCAGTACTTACCATCAGTTGGCATTGCATTTAAGAACTGAAATTTTCTTAGAATAATGATGACGACGAGCACACAGTCCACCTGGTGGTAAATGGATGCCGGGGCTCAAACGCCTCTACTTCTATCCTTGATTAAGATTAAAAATGTAGGTCCGTTGCTATCCCTCAGCAATAAGATGGAATGTCCGTTTCAAGTAAAAAGAGTCTCTGGTTGGGCATACACTAAACTAAACATAGCGTTATTCCACAGATTTACGCTGTTATTCTGTCATACTCCGGGCGAGTCGCCTTTTTCGTGCTTCAGCCATAGTATAGCTGCGGTTTGGTTCTACCACGTAAAATATATGGCTTAAAATAAGTTCATTTTTATATGGATAAAGCATTACAAACGAGCACAAAGTCCTCCTGATGGTAAAGGGATGCTTTATCCTCATTATGAATCAAAATACAAACGCGTTGTTACACATGGGGACTAAGATGAAATGCCTTTTTTCACACGACTGGTAGCTGAATATCCCTTTTATTAAGCTACCAGTCGTGCTTCTAAATGTCCTCCAATAGATTTCACAATAGCCGCGTACTGATTGAGCGAGCTGCCTCGCGAGGCTGCCTCGGTCTGTAAGTTTTCTAATCCGAGGCTGCCTCGCGCGGCAAGGCCGAGCCACCGTGAGCATCGACGCTCAGTTTAACTTGAAGTCGAATAGAAACCGCGCGTGCGTATAGTTTGCCCGAGACCACCATGAGGCCGCACATTCGAAAAGCTGTCAACTAAACGTTTTTGGATTAAACTCTTATACAAAAATAGATTACAGGCTGGGAACAGATTGTTTGAAGAGTTGTGCTTCGATGACGAAGAAAAAAATTTCACTCGAATGAATAAAATCGCGAAAGAACACCGATTCCTACCAAGGATGATACGTGAGGCTATTGAAATTAAAAAACATCCTAATTTCAATAGAGAAGGAGGCTGGGTACTACCACCTGCTTGGGATCCTATAATCAATAAAATTAAAACTAAACCCAAGCATACCACTGCAAGACCTCAAGACATAGTTAGTTCATTTTGCATAGATCGGACCATAAACAATAATTAAAAAAGCTGAAGGTACCCCGGGTTTAACAATGACATCGGGACGTCAGTCATCTCAGTCCCCCGTGACCATGGGTGCTGGAAAGCGCCCGAAACGTCGGGAATTAAAAATAAAAGTAATTAAAAGCAAAAATAAACGCGATAAAATCCGTAAAAGTAGTTTTAATCATGAATAAAATCGAATTTGACAATGTGTATTCTCTCATAGACGCCAAAATAAGCAAGAAGGACACAAATTTTCGAGAAGCAATATCCGCTAGGGAAAAATTATTAGGGACGTTGAGATTTTTGACCACAGGAGATTCTACATACCAGTCTACAGTATCTATTTCGTATATCAAAACAAAGGATATCGGTTATAGTTCCTGAAGTCTGTGATGCTATAATTGAGGTGTTAAAGGATTATGTTACGGTAAAATAAAATTACATATTTTTATTATTTTTTTATTAATCAAATTATAAAATTGGAAAAATAATATAAGAAAATTAAACAAACAAATATTTAATGATTGGGAGCTGGAGAAGGAGGAGGGGGAGGCATTGGTGAGGCAGCAGGCATCGCTGAGGTAGGAGGCATCAGTGAGGTAGGAGGCATGGGCGAGACAAGAAGCATCGGTGAAGTAGGAGGCATCAGTGAGGTAGGAGGCATGGGTGAGGCAAGAGGCGTCGGTGAAGTAGGAGGCATCAGTAAGGTAGGAGGCATGGGCGAGGGAAGAGGCATCGGTGAAGAGGAGGCATCAGTGAGGTAGGAGGCATGGGCGATGCAAGAGGCATCGGTGAAGTAGGAGGCATCAATGAGGCAGGAGGCATCGATGAGGCAGGAGGCATCAATGAGGCAGGAGGCATCAGTGAGGTAGGAGGCATGGGCGACGCCTCTTGCATCGGTGAAGTACAAAGCATTGGAAAGACAGCAGGCATCGAATATGTACATGGTGTCGATGAGGAAGAGGGATGAGACATATATCTTAAATTGCCGTGTTCACCATGTGATTGATTATAATAACCATAACTACTGTATGCTCCCATGTCTGCATCAAAGATTACTTTATTTATTGAATTTTTTACGTATGCTAATGTAATTTTATCATATTTTCTGAACTCATTTCCTATATATTGGCCATACACATTATAGGGATCATTTTTTTCCGATATATTATCGCTTTCACATTGTTGTAAAAGTGTTAATGCTTCAGACATGGCGTTATCAGTAAGATCATCACTTTCGTTCATTTTGGATCTCTTTTTAGGTCTAGTTGACTCTTATTTAGGTCCTTCCTTTATCATAGAGTTTGAAGTTTCATTTTTTTCTTCGTTATGACCGTCATCATTTCGAGTATTATCCAGACTTGCATTCTGTAAAGATAGAAATTATTACTTAATTTTATTTATAGATACCATCATCCGAAGAAGAGTGGCATACCATAGCGAAAGTGTTTGAGAGCAAATGGAATATCCCACATGTCATAGGAGCAATGGATGGGAAGCATGTTATATCACAGCCACCGATAAATAGTGGCAATGATTATCACTGTTACAAAATTTTTCCAAATATAGTGCTGTTTGCTTTAATTGACGCTAACTATACATTTCTGTACGGAGACGTTGGTAGCAAGGGACGTATATCAGATGGCGGTGTGTTTAAAAACACCAATTTATATTAAAAGGTCAACATTCCTCCGCCAGAAATATTACAAATACCGTATAAAATTGCAGTGCCCTATTTTATTCTAGGCGATAAAGCTTTTGCTCTCAATGATTACACATTGAAACCTTATGAAGGTACTCCAGAAAGAGGTTCAATGGAAAGGATTTTCAATTACAGGCTGTCCAGAGCAAGAAGAATTGTGGAGAATGCCTTTGGCATTTTAAGCTCCATTTTTAGAGTGCTGAGGAAGCTGCTACTATTAGAACCAGAAAAAGCTACGAAAGTCGTATTGACTACCATATGCTTATATAACTACTTGCGTAGAGATCAAGCTTCCTCACAAAGATTCACTCCCCCAGGATCATTCGATGCCGAAGTTGAAGGGACAGTAATACCCGGCCGATGGCGACAGGATACAGAAATCTCATCAATGCTATCTATTCAAGCCATACCACGGCAAGGATCAACAAATATAAAAGAAATACGTTCACATTTAGGGAGATATTTCATAACAAACGGAGCAATTTCTTGGCAGAATAATTATCAGTAAATAATAGGTACTCACTTCTTCACCTAAAGTATCTTGTGTATTTCCTGGGTAATTTCTGTCTCCCAGGAAACTGAAGGCTTCATAGGCATACCAATTCGAAACATATATTTCACCACGACCAGCAGTATAAAATAAAATAAAATATTAGAAATTATATAAAAACCGGTGTAACTTTGGATATAATAAAATGAATTTTGTTAACCTTAATCATAAACATTAAATAATAAATACCTGATCCTGTGATTCGGCTTTTTTTTCTCGACTTTTCGCTCCTGTAAGACCGTAGCCAAGAGTCCATTTTTTTCTTTAATTCAGCTATTGGAAGGTTCATTTTCCCTTCATCTTCCCTTAGTCCTCTATTTGTGTAATCAGGACATTGCGCATCCCAAAGTCGTCTATATTCACCATATAGTTGTATTAATTTAAGACACTGTTCTTTATCCATGACGCACAACTAACACGCAACGAGTAAGTGAGGCAAAATACTACCGTCTTGAGTGAGCGCGACAAACGTACTGAGGCGCCTTTAAGCATCAACAAAAACCCTCGGTTCGGGCCGCGGCACGCTCGGGCGAGGCAGCACGGACGTTTGCCTCGGGCAAGGCACGTCTTGACCGACCGAGGGTTTGCCTCGCGAGGCTGCTCGCTCAATCAGTACGCGGCTAATAATGCAGATATTTTACTATACAATTTGCTTTTGAGCGGTAGCAAAACGAAACATATTAAATTAAAAATCAAAAATTAACAGGTGAATTCCAGTACGCTCATAAAATGAAAGAGCTGAGTCTTGTTGAATCAACTGTTTTTCTTCCCAGAATTAAAGTTGACGCGAAGCTTCATTGGGTACCCTATATATATAATCTAGCTAGTAAATTAAGTTCTGTAGCATATTTACTTACTGCAAAGAGTTTGCAATCAAATGCCACTCTTTATATCAACTTTATATACTCGTATCAATAACGAAGGTTGTTCATTAATTTAGTCGACCTACATATTTTCATTGTACAAATGAGTGTAACAAATGAGCATACATTGCACCTGATGCAGTGAATGCTGTAGCACATATACACCGACGTCTTTTCTCGGTTAAGACTCAAAACAAAGTACGTTGTCACACCTGGGGGATTAATATAGAATTCATATTTGCACAAATAAATACGGTATTCGTGTATTTGAAATATTTCAGTTTTTTATAGAACAAAGGTGCCGAACGAGCGTACAGTCCATCTTATGGCTAGGGGATTCTGTAGCTCAAATAAATTTAAATTTATCCTCGATTAAGAATCAAAATGCAGATACGTTGTTACCCCTGAGGACTAAGTTGGAATGCCCCGTTTCCATAAAAAGGGTCACCGGTTCTCGACACCCACCATACGAAACAAATAAGCACTAAGCTGCAATTTTACCCCGGTATTCTGTGAGAGCATGGTTCTACCGCGATCGAGCCAACCCATTCGTGCTACAACTATTATAGCTGGAGCATGGTTCTAGCACGTAAAAATAAATAATTTAAATTAAGTTTATTTTGACATAACAAATTTACACTATGCGTTTTAGCGAATCCCCATAGGTTTCGAATTAGTCTAAATTTTGTTTGAGGAACCAATGTTTAACGACAGCATTATGCTGCTAATGTGCGCTCGTATTTTGTGAAAGCATGTTAGTCCTCAGGTCGAACCGAAACATTCGTTCTGCAGCTGCAGTTGTAGCTCTTTCAGTTGTAAACTTACAGGCGGAAGCATTCTCATCATCATCATTCATCATCATCATCATAGCCTATCAAAGCTCCTATTGAACATAGGTGCCTCGCAGACAGCGCTGAGAGCCGCGGTTTGAATCCCGCACAGAAAAAGTATTTGTGTGCTTCCAAATAACTGTTCCTGGTTAGATGTTTGTCTTAGTACAATTTATGTTTCTAAATTGCCTCTATGATACCTGAGGAAACACTCGTGTCTGGGTTACAATTTTTTTTGAAATAGATTACCTTACAGGGAAGATATTTGCTATATTTACCCGCATGGTCGGCCACCAGTTTTTTTTTAATTATCTTGTGTTGTTATCAGAAAGATACTTCTGCCCATATCGTATTTTCGTTTTCCTCTATTACCTACTACTCCACATGATCACCATCGTTAAAATCAATTATTTCGATTGTAAATAAATTTATTAGAAGGAACTTTAATGATTTTTAATCATCCTGGGCAGGCGGACTTTGGAACATAAAGCTGCTACTCTGGCACTAGAAATTCTTTTCACTAGTCTGCGCGTGCTGCTCGAGCAATGCCTATATACATAAATAGTTCCACGCCCACTTAATCAGTCTTTTCACAGAGCCTCGTTTTCAGTCATAAGTGTGCATCACGTGCATCTAAAATTGGTTGAATAAGTTGCCTCCTACACCACCTGCGCGTACAATGTTCCCGCGCGCTCCCATATGGAGTAAGGGTGGATAACACCAACAAAAAACCAACTCGTATGAGCTGCGACTAATGCAGAAATAAACACTTTTGGGTTGTGGCAGTAAGGCACAGACACACAAAAACTAATTTCCCGACACACAAGAAATACCATTCTACGCCCAGGCTCGTAAAATATTTTGCAGATCTTTTGCAATTGTATAAAAAACTTAAAAATTTTGACGCTATATTCTTTAAGAAACTTTAAGTGAACATTTTTTATGCATAAAGGGAGAAAGCTTTTTAAGATTCTTCTGCTTCATGTTTCCTGAGAATGCTTTTCCCCGTATTGTTGTTAAAAATTAAATTACTCCTTATTCCTTTTTTAAAATAGCAGTCTAGGTGTGACCTTTCGAGTCGTTAAAATAGCGGTCTAGGTGTGACTCGAAAGGCCACACCTAGACCGCTATTTCAAAAAGTAATAAAGAGTAATTTAATTTTTAACAACAATACGGGGAAAAGACACGACTAACTTCCCAGTGGAAGGAATAAAAAGTAGCATATGTTTTAATATTTCATACAATTTTTCATTCGGCACATTAACGACTTGACCGATTTTGCTCAAAATTTAATGAGGTCTAAGTTACATAACTATGCATTAAAGGAAACTGGTCCCATGTCAATATCACTCTTTGCTCTCGAGCTATACGAGGCGAAATTTGAATCCGAAAATACATACATACGTACATGTGCACACACGGACAGCCTCTTAAAATCCATACAATTCGACTCTCTAAAGTCCTTGAAACGTGGAGATGTGTTAAAATTTCCAATTTGCAAAATCGGACTCATTACAATAAATTCCCACTGAGAAGTTAATAATCTAGTCCTGTTTTGTTTTGACTGAGTGGTGGCGTTGTAATATCTACTACACCACAATGTACAGAAATGTGCAGCAAAATCTTCCTGATTGATTTAAAATAATAAAACTACGGTTGCAACAAGATATCCCCCTCATATGAGACAATCTATTTGGAAGGCCTGTATTCAGCAGTGGACTATTGATAGGCTTTGTTTTCTTCTCTTCTTTCTTTTTTCTTTCTTTTTTTTTACCTTATCTTTCTTTCTTAAATAATTTTTTTAGAGTCAACGACTCACAATCATTTACAGTTCACAAAATGAATTCTACGTTATGATTTTTGGGCTATAATAACAAATAGAAACTGAGCAGTTTTTGTGGCAACATCTACTGCAACGTCTTCTATTCTACGTGCAGCAGCATTAACGAGATGTTCCGACTGACAAACTTGACCATTGAAGCACGTCCTCTCCACAATGGG